GCAATAGAGAGTTTTCCTAAACCGCAGAACATACAACAACTGCGCCAATTCCTGGGGACGCTCAATTTCTATCGAAGATTCATCCCTGACGCTGCAAAGGAACAAGTACTACTAAACGATGTACTCAGTGGTCCAAAGATCAAAAAGAAATCACCAATTACCTGGAACAAAGAATTAGACGAGGCCTTCCTGAAATGCAAAGAAAGCCTTGCCAGGGCAACGATGCTGGCACACCCCAAACCTGAAGCAGAGATCACACTCACGACAGACGCTTCTGACAGAGCAATGGGTGCGGTAATTCAACAACGGAACGGAGAAGAATGGCAGCCATTAGCCTTCTTCAGCAAAAAGTTCAACCCAGCGCAGCGAAAATACAGCCCTTATGATAGGGAGCTATTGGCGATTTATGCCGCCATTAAGCATTACCGCCATATGCTCGAAGGAAGAGACTTCACAATCTTCACGGACCACAAACCAATCACATACGCCTTTCAGCAAGACCCACTGCATAGCTCACCAAGGCAGACGAGACATCTACAATATATCGGACAATTTACTACCAATATACGGCATATTTCAGGAAAAGACAATACTATCGCCGACGCATTGTCAAGAGTCGAGAAGATCCAGGAATCAGTGAACCTAGAGGATCTAGCAAAAGCACAAGAAGACGACACTGAATTACAAGAATTAGTAAGCAAAGACACAGCACTGAAGCTGCAGAAAATACAAATTCCTGGGACAAATTCCACACTATATTGTGACACAACGACATCAATCGCAAGACCGTTCGTCATAAAGGATTACAGAAGACAAGTATTTCAATCGCTACACAGCCTGTCACACCCAGGGACCAAAGCTACAGCGAAATTAGTCGCAGAACGTTACGTATGGCCAAGAATAAAAGCGGACTGCCATCAATGGACACGGGCCTGTATCAACTGCCAGCGAGCCAAGGTACAGAGGCACAATCGGACACCTCTCGGCAGTTTTAAGACCCCGTCAAAACGGTTCGAGCATATACATATAGATCTGGTCGGAGCTCTACCCATTTCAAAAGGCTATAGATATTGCCTCACGGTGATCGATCGATTTACCAGGTGGCCCGAAGCTATACCGATAACAGACATATCCGCAGAAACAGTAGCGCAGAATCTATTCACCCACTGGATCGCAAGATTCGGCACACCTGTTCGGATCACAACGGATCAAGGAAGGCAGTTCGAGGCCGACTTGTTCCGACAATTAACCAAAATAACAGGTACAACGCAAGTGCATACAACGGCCTATCACCCTGCAGCAAACGGCATGGTAGAACGCCTCCATCGCCAGATAAAGACAGCAATAAAATGTCACGCAACAGAAGCATGGACAGAAATACTACCAGTAGTCATGATGGGGATCAGGGCAGCCTTCAAAGAAGACCTTCACGCAACACCGGCAGAATTAGTATACGGGGAAGTAATAAGGCTACCCGGAGAATTCCTCCAAGAATCACAGGACACAGCAGAGAACTCAAATGATTTCATACTCCGACTCAAGCAAACTATAAAAAGTCTGCGACCACAACCGGTTAAGAGACACGGAACGCCGGCAATCTTTGAGTACAAAGACCTGGAAAAAGCGTCACATGTGTTCCTCAGGCATGACGCACCAATACGGGCACTCCAACCGTCGTATAGCGGCCCGTATGAAGTCCTAAACAGAACAGAAAAGGTCTATAAGTTACGGATCAACGAAAAAACCGTCCACATAACAAAAGACCGATTAAAACCGGCATACATATTAGCAGAGGAACCAGACCAAACAAAAAAACAAATAGAACCCCGAAACACTCCAACGGTTCCAAGAGATCAGGAAACAGCAGTACCCGCAGAAATCAAAACAAGAAGTGGAAGAATTTCACGCAAGACGGTACGAGTCCAAGCATCCTAGTAAAATACAACGAAGGGGGTAATGTGGCGGTACACGCCACAAAAGACGTTTCGCGAGAGCGCATTAACGCGGCGCGAGGCTTTCTCGCAAGCGCGCGGGCACGCGGCGGCCCGGCTTTCTCGCAAGCGCGCGGGCACGCGGCGGCCCGGTTTTCTCGCAAGCGCGCGGACACGCGGCGGCCCGGCTTTCTCACAAGCGCCCGGGCACGCGGCAAGCTGCGCGCCTAGTACCGGGCACCTCCGCCAGGCGGCACACGCCAACTGTGCTTTTCCCGTAATAAGGAAACAATAAGCGGCGGATATAAGGAGGACCCCCGCAGAGACAAGACACCTCTCTTACGATCACTGCTTTATAAGTATATCAAGAAGACGAAGATTCCAGCAAGCGACCAAGATTCAGGAAAAGGAGACGACCGAGACATCATCACGGCAGCAAAGGAGAACGAGCCTCCTCTCCCGGAGGAGATCATCGCCGTCCGGAAGAGGACGCGTCCAGCGCCAGTGCTCACCAGCCGAAAGAGCCTACAGGAGATACCAGGACCACTCGAGGAACTCCCGCGGTCCCAAGACGCCTCGACGGCCAGGAGCCCGCGCTCGGGAGAAACCCCACGGGAATTTTGGCCCCGCAAAATCATACTCGGGGTACGCATCCCGGCTTCACTCCGGGACGAGAGACGGAAGGTCGTGTACGACCCATCACTGGCCCGTTTGAAGCAGCCAGGAGGGCGAAAGCGGGCAACCAACATCGCAGCCTCCCACTCCCGAGGCACTACGAAAAACGAGGACAAACCAAAGGCCGTCCTCAAACCGAGGCCGAACACTCCGCCTCCGGTCACTCCAGGGTCTTTACCAGCCTCCCTGATACCCTGGCATACACCACGAAGGATCTCGCCAGAACCGCCGGCCCTGCGGGACCCACGTTTATCGAGAGTCCAAGAGAACCTCCAGTCGACGGCGACACAGACTCCCAGGGATATCAGGGACGCTTCAACGCAGACCGAAGAGGAGCCCACTCGACGCCGAGTCCGGAACGCGGGGTCGCAAACCGCATCCCCGGAACGCCACCGACGTCGGAGTCGACTTTCCCCATATAGACCGCATCGCCGATCTTATGTATACCGATGTGTAAAGGAGCAATAAATATAAGTTATATCGTTAGTACCGTGTGATCATTAAGTACGAACCTGTCATTCCTTGCGGTTCCCTACACAAAATAAAAATATATGTATACGAAACAGATTATCGAGAATATTGTAACATAAAACACGTAACAGTAAACCATACAATATGGATTGACTTACGTCAACCACACTCCTGGCTATACTCGACAGCATCCGAACAGCAAGCCACAATAAAATGCGATAAGCACCCTGATTATAAGAAAATAATCAGAAACACAGGTCGAATCACACTACGTGACAATTGTAAATTGACAACAACAAACATAATATTACAGACTAAAACAATTACATATACTTCAGAAATAGAAAAATTTCAACCCGAATATAATATAACAATCTTTAAAGATAACAACTACACAAATGACAGACAAAAACTTAAAAACATAATAAATAATCCAACAGAGCTAAAAGAACTAAATAACAAGTTAGAAAAGATAAATAAAGATTTAAATAATAACGAAAATAACTTCTTTAAACAAAAAACATTTATATATCCAATGGCTTCCAGTGGAATAACCACTATAATTATTATAATAGTAATAATATGGATAATTATCCAATATAAAAAGAAGAAATCTAAAAAACCGACTGTTACAATAATAGACGAAACTGACAAAACATGCGGAATGCCTAGACCAATATTAAAACAAACTAAGAGCACACGATTTTAGAATAAATAAGTTTAATTTAAGAAACGATTATAATGAATATTGTACACGCGAAATACATTGTATTTAAAATAAGGATAGGCATATACACATTTAGAAGACAGAAAAACTTCGTTTGCAACCTCCGTTTTTCTTTTCCAACGGGGGAGGGATGTTATAGCCCGAGAGACTATAACTTATTATACCATTATAATAGAATATATAAGAGAACATTCGCGAACCATGCAAAACCGCCATCTCAGCAAACCACGCGCGAGAACGCTCGCCGGAAACGCGAAAGACGCTAACGAAGGGATTCGACTTTGAACCTCCTTCGCTTGCAAGTGGACTTTGGACGCCACGAAGAACCCCCATGACCATACATGGTCATGTCGCTAGGCGATCCCCTCCAAAACACCCTCGAAACCGAGGAAATAAAAACCGTCCACCGCGAATCCGCGGCGGACAGTCGTTAATTATAAATCAAACAACAACTAGTACGAGATCGAGGGCTAACTGCTATACTGTGTAACGATTCATTCAAAGAATTATTAAACGCTCTAAATCTAAAACGAGGCGACACAGGAAAGGACGACAATAAGGACAGAAGGCTTGTAAAGAAATCGACTAGAAATAAAGTACGAGAATCTATTTGTAAAATAAAACTCTTATAATAAAAGAATCACTGATACTGATCCGAGGATCCGAATCGTTCCCGGCTACCCCACACCCTGTGCTGCGTCGGGCACAACAAAACATATTAGCTACAACTATATAATTTAATATTTTTATATAATTATTTTTTAAAATTCTTTATATAAAGTAATCCTCAACAAAGATGTCAATTTAAAATTTGAAAAGCAATTGTAAAATTTTTAATAAATATAAACGTTTAATAAATTGTATGAAAATATTCGATCAACATTCAATAATAAATTAATGTAAAAACTTCTTTATAAAATCATTAAAAAAGCTTGTTGAATATATATCTACTGTTCTCAAAAAATTATGTACATTAAATAGATTAGTTTATGTTAAATAATATAGCAGATAATAAATTTAGTAATTTTATTATAACGAGAATTTATGTAACATTCAAAAAATATAATACATAAAATTTTCTAACGACAATTTAAACTAATATTTTTACTAAAAATTGTATTTTCCATCAGATTGTTACTTTTTTCAAAAATATTTTTTTTGTTCAGAAAAAGATCAAAATAATAATATGGGCTTACCATTTGACTTCGATAACTTTTATCATTAATTAGTTTTGCTTCGATTACGTCAAGATCATTTTTATTTTGCAATGGCAAGTCTTGAAAAATGTCTACAACATTTTCTTTTTCTTCAAAATTAGTAATTGGAAGTTTTTCTATAATAAGCTTTAGATGTCTTTCAATAGAATTATTTTTTAATTCCAAACTTATCAACTTTCCAACAACAAAACGTCGAAAATTTTTAGTTTCTGTAAAATATTAAAAATTTGTTGTATTCATATACTATATTTGTATATAATTTTGTATCTCGACTTGTAACGCGTTGACGCGTCCTGTGTGCAGAAGCTCTTTAATGAAAATTAAAGAAATTTAATTCATTACAGAATTCACTGTTTAATGTTCAATATATGCAATCAAATGTACATTGGATACAATATGAAGTCTTCTGTAATGGATTATATTCTATAAAGTAAATTGTAAAATTAAACATTAAATACAATTAATATATTACCTTGATTACAATTGAAACTCGAATCAAGCTTTGCTTGTTGGATTGGCATACTTGCTGTTTCAGTAAAATTAGCGGATTCAAAATCCTTTGTAAATGATTGTTCTGTGTCTGATGCATAAAGTAAATCTTCAGTGTCATTTTGTACATCTAGAACAAAATAATTTTTTTATTATAACATTTTAATACACTTTTAATATTAATTAGCATCAATATATAGGCACTTTTAAGTTTTGTATTATTATTTATAATCAAACATAATATGCAATAATATCACAAAACAGACTCAATTAATATAAACCAAATATTTATATTAGATACATTATATTAATCTGTTTTATTAATATTCCACTTTATTAATATTCCAAATTATATTAAGTTATAGTTATTTTATATAAAGGTATAAAAAATATTTTTAATTAGATGTACATATACATACATATACATATCTTTTGAGTTAGTGCAATACGTAAGCTAATGTTAATTTTTTTTGTTTTTATATTGTAATTCAAACGAGATACGTTTTATTTTATATTTTTAGATAAAAACATATACTTAGAAAAATTTTCCTATGATTTTATATTTAATTTATCTCGTTCTATGTATTCTTTTGTGGAGTTGTTTATATAATTACATCCATAATTTAGAAACCACAGTGTTTTATTATTAACCTTTTTTTTTTCATAATTTATTACTATTTACTCCATTAATATTACTTTATTATATTTTTACCTGTTTGTGAAAATGTTGCATTTCTTGTTTTAGTAGTACATGTTTGTTTTTCAATACAGTTATTTTTCAATGCAGTTATTGCACGTTTTTCAGGGACTTTTGGGAGTTCCGAAATAAGTGAAGAATCCGATTGTTCATCGCTACTCGTATCTTTATCAAAAATTTTAGCAGCTCTGACTTTTCTAGATTTTTTTAAAGATTCATTTCTATCAGTATCAGAATTTATATCAGATAACGCTTCAGCTTCTTTTAATTTTTTCCTTGCTACTGCATAATTTACTGAAAAAGAAATAATATATATTTTAATAGAAATGTTATTTTACTGTATAATTCAAAAATATCTATACATACATATATATATAATGATAAATTAAATATTTGACAAGACACTTACAAAACTTTCCATATATTTTACAGATTGGATGCTCTAACCAAGTAGATAATGGTTCTTCCATAAATTTTACAGCCTTGTAATATCGTTTATTATTTGTGAAGGTTGGCCAAACAGCCTTTGTTAAATCTTCATTCAACCAATTATCAGGTATCACTTGCAAACCATCTTCAAACTCAACAACTGCGTAATACTTTCTTTCTGTCATTCTGCATAATTAGAAAAGTCATTTACATTTTGCAATGTATGAGTGGAAAAACTGCATATTTATCATCTCCGCAAGGCAACTGTACATATTTTTTAACTATATTTTTTAATGGCCATGATCTTAAATCAGAGCGTAAATGTACAGAATAAATGTCAAGCATAGAAGATGCACAAGGAACAGTAAATAAGTCTTCTTTTTCCAAAAATTTGTAGCCAATAATTATAGGAATATTTCGCCGTGTGCAGTATGTCACATTTTTAATACAAACAATTGCACCACAATTTAAACCGCAACAACTATCTGCAAGTGTTCCAACTTTAAATGTAAATCCATTATATTTCACAATTTTATATTGTGGATTGCGGCAATTCAATATAAGAGGACCATCATAATGCAACGATGTCAAAAATGGATATATTCGAACAGAATCTGATAAAGTAGATGATGTGCATAAATTCACTTTTTTCTCAACGTATCTTCGCACAACTTGTTGCAAAGGTTTCTCTGCTTTTCTCAAATATTTTTTTAATATCTGCATGTAATTTTCAAATTTAAAGGCACTAAAGTTATCAACAGGTCCAAATCTCTTGACATCATCCACAAGATGAATAAGGCTGTGAACATTATGTGATATGTTTTGAATTCCGTACAGTTTTATAAATGTTTTGATAAAAAAATGAATAAGATCTTGTGCATATGTTAGATATTCATGTAAATCTTCTGAAGATAAGATTCTCATAATCACGTGTAATGTAATAAAATGTATATACACATTTTTTTTAATGCTGATTTAAATGCCAATGGACCTGTATATAATAATATTAATCTATATTCCGTTGCTTTCCATAATTTTAGACAATCCAATTTTCGTGGTTTTCGTGCAAATTCCATAGGTATTGATGGTTTTAATTGAGTTATTAAATGTGTAGAAATGTTGTCAACGATTCTATGTTGTAATCGAAAATGTAATTCTCCATCAAGCCATAAATATAATAATTTACGCATGATTCCCAAACATATTAAGTGCACATAATCCAATGGAACATGTGTAACAGGTTTGAAGTGAGGTATATTTAAGAGGCTGCACGTTATATTTGGCTTGTGATAATTATCATCTATTTTTTGTATGAAGTTATCATCTGATCTAAGTGGTGCATCAATTTGTGGAAAACACAGTCGGGTTCCTATATATTCTCCTTCCGTTGTACACTTCGTACAACTTGAATACCCAGAATGCCCTTTTACATCCAAAACAAATGCTTTCGCTGGTGTATCACAAATCAAAGCTGCAATTCTACACTGTATGTTTCGACCGTTGACGAAAATTCCATTTGTACATATTTCTGTAGCTTCGTTAACAAAATCTTGTAAAAATTCATTGGCATCCATCGGTTTTTCATTGCCATGATAAATTCCAATTATAAATACGTTATCATATGAAAAAACTGAACCTAATATAGGCCAAAATTGTTGTTGGGACGATTTTGATAATGGCAGCCCATCAATGTTCACAGCTATTTTAACGCAACTAATATTATCCTTTACAAATGTTAATATTTCTTTTATAGAATTTGATAGTCCAAAATGATAATATGATCCTGGTACAACTGTACGTATTTCTTGTTGTCTTGGTGTTTTTAAAAGCGATCGTGCATCTAATGATAATCTTGAAAAACAAGAGTGTTTCTTTAATTTCTGCAGCAATGCTTTTAAAGCAGTATGTGTAATTTGATGTTCAACAGCCCAGATAGCAAGATTATGTTGCAAATTGCTACTTGTAATTTCAAATCTTATATCATTTGGTTCATTATAAGAAAAATTAACAGGAGATTCTTCTGAATCTGATATATCGTATTCATCCGATTGTCTGAGCGTGTTATCATTTTCACAATGTACAAGTATTTCATTATTTTCATTCGATTCCGTATTTTGTTCGATATTAATTTTAAATTTTGTTGTACAATCGTTGTTCAAATCTGTTGTACACTCATTATTCATATTAACACATGATGACGAGCTTTCGTCGAAACATAACAAAATATCAGAAATAATTTCGGATTCTTGTGCAGCTAATCTTTTTAAGTGCCGATTTGATACACACGATGTATCTTTTTTTTTACGTTTTCCATATGTTTCCATTTTAATAAATGTTTTATCTGTACTATAAATGTTTTATCTGTATATAGTTATGATTACAATATAGTTATAATTATAAACAGACCAAAGAGTTTTAAATTTAACTCAAAATGATTTGATTCTTAAAACTTGCAAAAAGTTGTCTAATATAAAAAGTTTGTAATAAAGAAAAATTATCAATCGAAAATATTACATAAAAACAGAATCATGATAATATGGACACAAATTTTAAATAATATTTTAAATAAGATAAGATTGTTCGTGTTCCGGATCGGTTATAAAGTATCCGATGTGCGAGATAAGCAAGTGCAAGTAACAAAATATAATGAAAAATGTACTAATTATTGAAGGAACTAACTTCAATTAATATCTTTTCATAGTTTAATAATTTCTTTGAAATAAAATTCTTTTTTTATAGTTACAATGTTTATCAAGTAATAACTTTTATTTTAAATTATAATATAAAATATCAGCAAATTAGAATTATGTTTTGATATTATAAAACATATTAAAGTAAAAATTGTATATATAATAAATATAAGATAAAATAGATAATATCAGATAAAATACAGATAAAATGTCATTTTATGAAAAAATTAAATAAATAACATTAAGAAAGTAATTACCTGAATCGGTGGAATCGGAGAATTCCTTTTCAATATGTTAAGACGTATAACACGTCTGTAAATTTATTACAGCAGGTCTGCTGTGTCAGTAATGCGATCAATACGCTACTCTTATAATCTATTAGCCTGTAAAAAAAACAATACACCAATCATAAATACTTTTCTCATAAATTATTCAATATGCAAAAAGAAATAAAAAGATATATCTGAATATATTTTTAGAAATTGTTTTAGAAATTATAATTATAGAAATAATTATTATATTATGTCTTTTTACTATATAATTTTAAAAGAATTACTTTGGATTAATCTAATGAGTAGGACATAAGAATATGCAATCGTCTATTGGCAAAAGATAACCTTAAATTTGTTAATAACACAATTTTTTCGTTAAATAGAGAATATTTATAAAAAATATTGTAAAAATATATCCAAATAAGGTATCTTTAGAAATTATATTTTATATGTTTATAAGATTATTATAGAAAAATAAATAATTACCTCGGATTAAAATCACATTTGCGACACATGGCACAAAGAATATGCAAGGAGCATGAGAAGAGTTGAAAGACGCCGTAAGAGTTCGACACCAGCAACATAGATGCCAGTTTCGGCCCGCTGCACGCTACGCACACAAAGAAAGAACCGTGTACGTGTGGCGCTCGGCGGCGATGAGTGGCTGTAATTATGTATATAATATGGCGTATGTAATCATATCCGCTATAATGATTTAATTTATATATTCCAAGTATATTCTAAGAACATACGAAAAATATGCATGAACGATATATCATAGAGATGGTATAAGGATATTTTCAGTATGTTAGATTTAATCATAGAATAAATATGAAACTTAATTTTTATATTTTGTATATCCTCAGAACATACGACAAATAATAGACTACTGTAAAGCTGGTAAAAGATAGTAAAAATACATCCTGAATATATACAAAAAATA